CTTTATGCTGTCCCCTCCACAAATACTGCATCCTTTACACTGTTCTCCTCCACACATACTGCATCCTTTCCACTGTTCTCCTCCACACATACTGCATCCTTTACGCTGTTCCCCTCCACACATACTGCATCCTTTCCACTGTCCCCTCCACACATACTGCATCCTTTCCACTGTCCCCTCCACACATACTGCATCCTTTACACTGTCTCCTCCACACATTCTGCATCCTTTACACTGTCCCCTCCACACATACTGCATCCTTTACAGTCCCCTCCACACATACTGCATCCTTTACACTGTTCTCCTCCACACATACTGCATCCTTTACACTGTTCCCCTCCACACATACTGCATCCTTTACACTGTCCCCTCCACACATACTGCATCCTTTACACTGTTCTCCTCCACACATACTGCATCCTTTACACTGTTCTCCTCCACACATACTGCATCCTTTACACTGTTCCCCTCCACACATACCGTATATCGCTGTGTATAAGGCGACCCCACGTATAAGACGACCCCCCTGTACACGCCTTCAAAATCAACCCCAAATCCTATACTCCGTGTATAAGGCGACCTGGAATGAAGCACATCACAAGTGCGCACACAAACCTTATATATGCAATAAAAATGTGTTTATCTTGCGTTGTTTTTTCTATGATGATTGGTCGCGCGTGTAACTCCAGCACATGTTGCCATTTTGTGTTTACACGGTACGACAACAAATTGGTGCCCGTAAAATAAAATTCATTTATAAAGTAATAACATATAAGAGACAATGGTGAGTAATTTAATCGCCAATTAACTATGTTGTAACTAACTAGGCTTATATTTGCTTCACAATCAGCGTGTTTATTCCACAATCACTTATTCACACTGTCTCCAACAGTTGTTAATACAACTGTAAAACCAGCGGGAATTGATTTCAGCTTCACCGGTTATCACATGTTAGGTCACATGTGCAATATGCAATTGCTTACCAGTACTTCCGGCTCTCTACTCACGGATGTTGATTGTTTTACTGTGTCAGCTGGTTTGACAATCTGCATCGAGGCGAGAGTCATTTCAACTTTATTTGCAGAAATTATGAAACTTTATTCAAGGAAAAGAGATACAAATCATGTTTATGTATGGAAATAGTTATTGGAACAGTTATTTAGGATGAAATGCAAAGTTTTATTGTCAAATGCTGGGCTGGCTATCGGACGCCGGTTGACATCGCCAGTGGAAAAAAATGTGAGATCTTCGACTCCGTGTATAAGACCCCCTTCTTAACCCCCTCATTTTAGGTACGAAAAACTCGCCTTATGCACAGAGATATACGGTACTGCATCCTTTACACTGTTCCCCTCCACACATACTGCATCCTTGAAATTGTTCCCCTCCACACATACTGCATCCTTTACACTGTTCCCCTGCAACCATACTGCATCCTTCACACTGTTCCCTCCACACATACTGCATCCTTTACACTGTCTCCTCCACACATACTGCATCCTTTACACTGTTCCCTCCACACATACTGCATCCTTTACACTGTTCCCTCCACACATACTGCATCCTTTACACTGTTCCCTCCACACATACTGCATCCTTTACACTGTTCCCTCCACACATACTGCATCCTTTACACTGTCTCCTCCACACATACTGCATCCTTTACACTGTTCCCTCCACACATACTGCATCCTTTGCACTGTTCCCCTGCAACCATACTGCATCCTTTACACTGTTCCCTCCACACATACTGCATCCTTCACACTGTTCCCTCCACACATACTGCATCCTTTACACTGTCTCCTCCACACATACTGCATCCTTTACACTGTCTCCTCCACACATACTGCATCCTTTACACTGTTCCCTCCACACATACTGCATCCTTTACACTGTTCCCCTGCAACCATACTGCATCCTTTACACTGTTCCCATTAAAAATACACACATACTGCATCCTTTACACTGTCCCCTCCACACATACTGCATCCTTTACACTGTCCCCTCCACACATACTGCATCCTTTACACTGTCCCCTCCACACATACTGCATCCTTTACACTGTCCCCTCCACACATACTGCATCCTTTACACTGTCCCCTCCACACATACTGCATCCTTTACACTGTCCCCTCCACACATACTGCATCCTTTACACTGTCCCCTCCACACATACTGCATCCTTTACACTGTCCCCTCCACACATACTGCATCCTTTACACTGTCCCCTCCACACATACTGCATCCTTTACACTGTCCCCTCCACACATACTGCATCCTTTACACTGTTCCCTGCAACCATACTGCATCCTTTACACTGTTCCCATTAAAAATACACACATACTGCATCCTTTACACTGTTCCCTCCACACATACTGCATCTTTTACACTGTTCCCTGCAAACACACTGCATCATTTACACTGTTCCCTACACATACTGCATCCTTTACACTGTTCCCCTGCACACACATACTGCATGTTTTCACACACCATTGCTTTGCACACATCTTGTATACACTGTTCACCTTCACCAATACTGCAGGTTCTACCACCTCCCCAGGCTGCCAGCATGCAAGTAGTCTGCTAGATGTACCCTGCACAACTCACTGTGCTGTACACACCACTCATCTGTTATCACCAACGCTGATATTTCGCATTGGGAGACTCTACCCTCCATACTGGCTGCTATGTGTCAGCCTGATTACTGCCTTGTTGGGTTTACAGGGTAAAGTGTTTACCTTGTTGTGTCATGAGGGGTACATAAGGGAGGGGTTACTTTGGGTGTGGGGTTGGTTTGGGGGCAGGGTTGTGCAGCGGTGCAAGGTGTGATGTGAACGGCAGAAAGTTCTGCTGCGTTAAAAATAGGTCGCTGATGGGTTTATCCGCTAGTGCAGGAACAAGGTTAACTGAATCATCGCGAAAATGTGTTTGGTGTTTAACGTCGCATTCATCACTATTAAAGCTATGTGAAGGCAGGTTATAAATAATCGACCAGACAATACAGTGATAGATATTGTGAGCAATGATCCATGCTATCGGGGTACAATAACAAGTACCGGTAATCAACCTATTCACCCTATCCAGAACACTGGAACATCCGGGTTGGAAGAGGTATTCAGCAACCCATGCTTGCTGTAAGATGCAACTGAGGGGATTGGGTGGTCAGGCTAGCTGACTTGGTTGATGCATGTCATCGTATCCCAATTGCGTCCATTGACACTCAAGATGTCAATCACTGGATTGTCTGGTCCAGACTCGATTATTTACATACTGCCGCCATATAGCTGGAATACTGCTGAGTGCGGCGTTAACAAAAAAAATCCCCAAACAAACAACAAACCCGATCCAGTAGTGAGTGAGTGAGTGAGTATGGTTTTACGCGGCTTTTAGCAATATTCTAGCAATATCATGGCGGGGTACATGAGAAATGGGCTTCACACATTGTACCCATGTCGGGAATCGTACCCGGGTCCTCGGCATGATGAGCGAACGCTTTCACCACTAGGCTACCCAACTGCCCCCCCCCCCCCCGATTCAGTAAGTCACCTGTTACGACCAGCAAAGGCTGCTGGGTAACTGAATCATCAGAAACTCTCATTTTCTTCCTTACTATGTGAGGTTTAATGGCACTTGACAAAAATGCCATTTACCCACTACATCTTAATTAATGAAAAATAAAAATGGTTTTCCTTATCGCTAGCAAATTGAATTACTCCTACTATAATAAGTATGGTTCACGGACTAGTTGCCAGCACCACCACAAACAATCCATTACACTGGGATCTGCACTCATCTTATCACTGGAACCAACTGAAGTGACCAGACTGTTCTAAAACGAATTAAAATGAAAAGGTTGTAATGTCTTTCTTAAGTGAGTACAACTGGAGCAGTGCCATAATCTACACACTTTAATAGAAGCATTATCTGCATGCTCAGGGCTCCCCGACTGACAGGGTGAGAGTGTTACACTGTGTGACACCATGCTGCTGAGATCATGGACCTGTCTACTCTAGGCTATTGCACCAGCATACAGTGGGATCTTGGTCCTGCACATACTAGGATCTTACACCTGGTACCAATAGACCTTGCATTTGTATACATTGGGACCTGAATACATTTGGATCTTTGACCTGAATACATTTGATCTTACACCTGAATACATTAGGATCTTGGACCTGAATACATTAGGATCTTGGACCTGAAAACATTTGGATCTTACACCTGAATACATTTATATCTTTGACCTGAAAACATTTGGATCTTGGACCTGAAAACATTTGGATCTTTGGCCTGAATACATTTGGATCTTGGACCTGAATACATTAGGATCTTTGACCTGAATACATTAGGATCTTGGACCTGAATAGATTAGGATCTTGGACCTGAAAACATTTGGATCTTGGACCTGAATACATTTATATCTTTGGCCTGAATACATTTGGATCTTATAGCTGAATACATTTATATCTTTGACCTGAAAACATTTGGATCTTGGACCTGAAAACATTTGGATCTTTGGCCTGAATACATTTTGATCTTGGACCTGAAAACATTTGGATCTTTGGCCTGAATACATTTGGATCTTATAGCTGAATACATTTATATCTTTGGCCTGAATACATTTGGATCTTATAGCTGAATACATTTATATCTTTGACCTGAAAACATTTGGATTTTGGACCTGAAAACGTTTGGATCCTGGACCTGAATACATTTGGATCTTATAGCTGAATAAATTTGGATCTTGGACACTTCCACCTTGCACCTGTATACATGTTATAGGATCTTGTGCCAGTATACACTGACACCTTACAACTGTATACACAGGTCCTCATATTAAATACACTCAGACCTAGTGCTTGTATACATGAGGACCAAACAATCACCTGTCTACTACAGAACTATGAGCCTACATAACTGAAACATGCACCTGTAAAAAGGTAGACCACTGACTGTTAGTCACCATAATATACATAGAATCGGACATTATGTATACTCACTTCATAAAGTTCTGGAGATTGCCGTGAGGTATAAACTCCATGATGAGGGCAATAGGCTCATTGAGGGTGCACGCACCGATCATGGCAACAATGTTGGGGTGAGATCCGACCCGCTTCATCAGGTTGATCTCGGCCACCAGGTCCTCCTTGTAAGACAGGGGGGCTCCCTCTGAAACAGGCAAAACATTTGGTCAGCCCAGTCAACAATACATACCCAACCACTGCCCACCCCTCTTGTAAGAGTGGGCGTCCTGAAGAAACAGCTGCATGCAAACACTGTGTCAGCCTCTGTCAACAATACCTGCCCTCCCAACCTCCTTGTCAATATCAGGCCCTCCCAACCTCCTTGTCAATACCTGCTGTCCCAACCTCCTTGTCAATATCAGGCCCTCCCAACCTCCTTGTCAATACCTGCTGTCCCAACCTCCTTGTCAATATCAGGCCCTCCCAACCTCCTTGTCAATACCTGCTGTCCCAACCTCCTTGTCAATATCAGGCTCTCCCAACCTCCTTGTCAATACCTGCCCTCCCAACCTCCTTGTCAATACCTGCTGTCCCAACCTCCTTGTCAATACCTGCCCTCCCAATCTCCTTGTCAATATCAGGCTCTCCCAACCTCCTTGTCAATACCTGCCCTCCCAACCTCCTTGTCAATACCTGCCCTCTCAACCTCCTTGTCAATACCGGGCCCTGTCAACCTCCTTGTCAATACCTGCTGTCCCAACCTCCTTGTCAATACCTGCCGTCCCAACCTCCTTGTCAATACCAGGCCCTCCCAACCTCCAAGTCAATGCCTGCCCTCCCAACCTCCTTATAAATACCAGGGGCTCCCAACCTTGTATTTCTAAAACAGAGGCTCCTTCTGAAACAGCTGCATGAAAACACTGGGTCATGATCAGGCAAACAAAACCTGCCTTCCCAACCTCCTTGTAAATACCAGGTCCTCCCAGCCTCTTGGTAAGAAAGAGGCTACTTCTGAAATATTTAATTTTGTTGACAGGGAGGGGGGACTTGAAAACAATTCTATGACATTTATTACCCTGCCTTGTGTAAAGGCTTCGGGTCAACCAAACTGCAACAAAACTCAAGTGTCTAACAAAAAACAAGGCCAAGCTGGACATTCACAAAATATAGATAGGACAGATATTTAGATGACGAAACCAGCCCTGAAAGTCTCTACAAATAAACATGAAGACAACACAAACACTGCCATGACCCAGTCAGCCAACACAGTTGAGGTTCCTTGATGACCTAATCTGCCTACTTCAGGTCTGAGTCATAAGGGTCATGGAGAGATGGTTCAAATGATCCAAACTCTTCAATGTATTTATTTAATTCTGTTTTTTCATAAATAATTCACTTTTTTTTTTTCTTAAAAAAAATAAAAATTCTTTCACATAAGGTGCCACGATTTTACAAATGTAGTTATGTTAACAGTGTTCATTCCTATTCAACATTCAACATTCAATCACAATGTCGGACACCACATACGTATAAGAACACATCAACAGTATCTCCCTAAAACTTATCTTGTCATAAGTGACATAAACACGTAATTTCAAACACGTATTAGACTTCAGTTTCCTAATAAAAAACACTGTTGAAAGTGTCCAGGTGATCATCAGCCTACACAAATAGCTCTGTTTATCAAATACAAGCCCACAGCATTGCAATCTAACTTTAGAAGCCAGATTAAAAGGTGGTTGGGCTATTTAGGAGGAAGTGAGCGCTGTTGTGCTCCCACCCCATACCCCCAGCATCAAAGCATGTGTTATGTAGCATCTGATGGGGCTAAGAGTGAGTTGGATCTCGGCAAGTGTCTATCTAAGGCTATGGTCTGTATGTTCAGGGTAGCAACCAGCCGCCTGTGTTTGTTTTCCTTCGTTTTCATTCTCCTTGCATCCTCATAAGCTAGGGTAAGACAATCAACCGAGTCCTGCTTAGCTGAAGAACACTGGCAGAATGATCTCCCTCCCTGTGTGAAGGCTGGAATCTGTTTAAAGTTGAAATAATCTTCCTTTGTCTGGTGTACATCTCGACACTAATGAGCCATTAACTCGAGCTATGCTTTTCCAAGTTGGACCAAACACAACCAGTTAGTGATCAAAAGAAATAAAAAATGTTTAGTAGACACATGCACAAGTGTAAACTGACATTTCATTTGCTCCAATTTTATACCTCCATTTTGTTTATCTTAATAGTTCTACATACCTGGCCAGGTAATGGTGATGATGCTTCCTTGATAAAACAAACAAACTTCAAACTTAATGCCACATGGACCATTAGATACTATCAGCATAGGGCCTAAGTCGTAGAGCATCTTCCTGAGGCAAGGGACTATAAAAGTTCAGTTTCCACCCTTGCTGAAGTAGGTTGAAATCTGAGTCCTGATCGTAGTGCCACGTGTGGCTATTACGAGTTATGTCCCTTCTATGTCCCTCCTATTGACCAATCAGATTCCACTCCTCATATCACTTGCATTTGCTTCAAACAAAATGGCAGCACCCGTCAAGACAATCTGATCGATAATAAATGTAATAAAATGTGTTGTCCCTTGCAAAGTGAGTCAAATCACTTGAGCAAGTTAACAAACATGAAAAGATTAGGAAAATATCTGTCGATTTCCAGTTGATGGTCCCCATGCTTTGCAAATGCTGCAAATATCGACTGAAATCTGCAATGGCAGTTGCCAAGTTGTTTACAGACTGAATGTCAATTCTTTTATGAGATTTTGACTGGACTAGGCATTGCCAAAACATAACTCAGAAATCCCGGCCTAGTTCGGCAAGGGTGGAAACATGACTTTTATAGTCAGTCACGTAACAACTCACTTGCCTCGGGAAGATGGTTGTGGAGGTGCTTGTCTGACTCTACTGTTACGAGTAATGGGTATATACTGGCCTGACTGTCATATTGCAATTTATAGCAATAATGATGCATGTACATGTGTGCACCAAAATATATTGCATGTGTTCTTTCCACTGTAGTTTGTTATTAACCTGTTAAAAAAAAAACCTGCACATTTTGTATTTGTTAGCTTTCTTAGACGTTGCTACGGTCACAACGCATGCATAATAAACATATTATATGCAGGACACTGGTGGCGAATACATTTCATCACAAGAAACAGTAGCTAATTTCTGGATTTCAAAATTTCAATTTGACTTGTCATTAATGTAAACTTTGGTAACATGATGAAAATATGCCAAGTATTGTAGGAGAGCAATATCCCAGTATTTTCCACATGTTTTGAGATATGTATTCATTAGTGCTTCCAATCATTGTATACTGGTAATACCGTGCACCTCCAACTGTTTGTGTGTTCGGGTATCAGGTAATTTGTAAACCCCATGAGCACCCCTGCTGATCAAGATGATACCTGAGGAATTTGGGGACATGGGGAGTGTACACATAGGCTTATAAACACAGTGGTTAGCCATCTAGTCATCTTCTAGTGAGACTTGGAAATAGCTGTTTTGGAGATTCATGCTGGCAGCTTACTTTCATGATGGTAATTTTGAATTTCATCTGATGAACATGGGTACTAGTCTTTTCATCCTGAAAACAGTGTAATTATATTGCATGTTTCATGCACATAGTATGTGTAAACAGTTTCGCTGAAACCAATTTTAATTCCCTTCCACAGGTGGTACACTGCATCATCACAGGCGCATGTTCTTGTACAATTATTTAAAAACATAATTGGTAGCTTCCTTAATGAGCTCAATGGGTATTCTGTTTAATGCATTATTTGTACCTCAAAGTGTGCTAGCGCCTGGCGTTAAGTTTGCGGTATCAAAGCCACATACCAACATCCCTGGTATAACCAGGGCAGGTGAACAAGAGGAGCCAACATTGTTTACAAGCATATGTCATGTCAGCCAGTTGGCCGAGGATTGTCACAGAATTGCTCCCTTGCCACAGACCTTACTGCTACAAATGTATCATACAATATGGAAAAATTACTACCAGTTGTCAGACTTTCATTTTTGTGGAAGCCTTGGTGGCTGAGTGGGTTAGATTGCTGACTTAGATTTGTGTGCTGGCGATTAAGTGCTTCGGCTGAGGATAGTCACAAAAGGGCTCCCTTGCCACAGAACTTACTGCTATCATACAATATGGAAAAATCACTACCAGTTGTCAGACTTTCATTTTTGTGGAAGCCTCGGTGGCTGACTGAGTTAGATTGCTGACTTTGTGCACTAGCGATTAAGTGCCTCACTCTGGCGGTGTTGGTTCAAATCCTGGACGAGACTCAACCCAAAAAAACAACTAGAATCTGTACTTTACAAAGAAAGTGTTATCCCAAATATAACATTTGTTAGTATGGAAAAAGTTTTTTAAATTACTGTTTTGTCATTAGTCAGGTTGGGTGAAACAGGTTATTTTTTTTTAAAGATTCTTAAAATGAAAAGTGGAAAAAAATAATCTGATACGTAAAATAATCAAATATAATATATTAAACCAAATGAAAACTTTGATCCCAACATGACACATTCTTTAGTGCAGACACCTTTTCATGAACACCTGGTGTCACTAATTTTCTTTTATCTATTCAAATAATTTCCATCAGTATTTGGCCCAATGGAATCTGTTTCTGCAGATTTTGAAGACTGATTTTTCTCCTTGTAACCTTCGCTGCTATATTGCATCAATATGAAAGTGAAGCAGAGGCTTCATGCATTCTGAGAGAAAAGGCAACTGCCAGAGTTTGGTTTATGGAGTTCCAGGAATACAATTTTTAAACAAAAGAGGACAAAATGAGGACATTAATCCCCCAACAATTATGGGTCTATTTACATTCCCCTTCCTCCGAGTGAAGCAGGTGGCAGCCATACCTCTCCCCGATACTTCAAACTTGGAGGGCTTGTTTGCTCACATAACATCATACATCTCAACCCCTACAGGATCTGTGTATCAGTGTGGAGATTTACTTCACATGGGGGGAAGGGGGTGAGAGAAGCATCCCCATTCCCAGGGCACATTACTTGACACAGGAATGTCACAGGCATTTGGAGGATGGGATTGCAGTTTGCGGATTCAAATGTTTCTACTATTTCTAGACACTTCTTTCTATTCTTTCTTCTTTGTTTCTCACAAGGGATTGGTCATATGCTCCACTGGGAGTATCTGGGATGGGACTGTCTATGAGGAACAGAAAACCTCCATGAATGATTACAGTAATATCTACCATATGACTGCACTAAAGCACTGTCCAAATATTTTAGGTGATACTGAAGAATGTTTTGATCAAACACAATAAAATCTTGTTGTCGTGAAATCCTGTTGGACCATTGGAAATGTGAGTTGTAAGGAGAAATTGGGTTTAACGTCACGTTCAAGATTATTGCACTTTTATACTGATGTGCATGTATTTGGCTGCTTGTACTAGTCTGGGCTAATGCTGGTTTTATAGTCCACTGAGATACCATGCCGCAGTTTAAACAAGTATACCACACTCAGACAAAGCATACTGACTCAATCCACGATGACGAGTCCTTGTTTTAGCCCTATAATGCAAGGAGCAATGCAGGGTAACAATAAGTACCATGTTAAAAGTCTTTTGGTATGATGCGGTCAGGGATGGAACCCTCGACCTTCCACTCTCTAGAGAGATGCTCGGGATACTTCTGTGTTATCAACGGAAATATTTTGCATTTGTTGTTTTTATCGATTAACGCAACACTTAGCAATAAAAGTCTAGACCAGACAATCCAGTGACTGACATCATGAGCATCAATCTATGGATACGATAACACACATAAACCAAGTCAGCGAGACCGACTACCCGATTGCATGGGTTGCTGAAGACCAATTCTTAACCCTGATCTTCCCAACGTGAAAAAATTTGAGTAAACCGGGCTTGGATGAAACTTAATATATTGATCATGATTTAATCTTTCATCTACCAGGAAATACCAGATCCCAGATACGGAATTGAAATGTTATAAATACCAATCTAAATTTACGAAAAACGTTTTTTCAAATCGAAACCTGATTTCCCATCTTTCATGTAAGGATCTCATTCCAGTCATCATAAACACTATGCTGGAGCTGCTATTTACATATTTATACACTCAGTATGTGTACAGGATTTAAAAATACTGAATTAAACGAAGGAGTCTAGGTCTAACAACATCCTCCACTTCTCAGACACCTTCCTCTCCACTGCCGCAATCTAGGCTGCCATAAATTGGGCTGATATTTATCAAAGGTTGGCACTCACTGCCAGATTCTCAAGAGAAGGTTAAAAGATAGCGGTGTTGCTGCCTTAACATCATGCTGAAGAACTGGATGGAGTTTTGAACAGAAGGACCTCCATGTAAACAGATCAACGATAGCGTCTTTAACATTTACAAACTATGGAAATTAATTCACGTATGGATGGGCGATTATAAACTACTGTTACTTTTTACTGCTTTATATAGCCTAATTGTGGTGATACGTGACTTGTTTATGTGCTAGATACTTTTTTACACTATGGGCGACATATCCGGTTTTGATAAGGGTGCAGATTCTTTCCTTGAAATGTCAAAAATGTTTGTGTTTTACATATTTCAATCCCAAAAATGTTATTAGCAGCTCAGGTATAAACTCTGATGTGTGAAGGATGTGATGTTCATGTCAATGCCTTTGCGGGAAATAGTTTTTACAATGCAATGCAATGACATTTAACATGCAACATCCATCATTGGGTAATCTGCAGCTGGTGGTGTGGCGTAAACTGTTATTTCTGAAGCAGTGGTGTGGTGGAAATTGTTATTTCTGAAGCAGTGGTGTGGTGTAAACTGTTCTTTATGAAGCAGTGGTGTGGTATAAGCTGTTATTTATGAAGCAGTGGTGTGGTGTAAACTGTTATTTATGAAGCAGTGGTGTGGTATAAGCTGTTATTAATGATACAGTGGTGTGGTATTAACTGTTATTTATGAAGCAGTGGTGTAGTATAAACTGTTATTTGTGAAGCAGTGGCATGGTGTGGTGTAAACTGTTATTCATGGAGCAATGGTGAAATTTAAACTGTTATTTATGAAGCAGTTGTGAAGTTTAAACTGTTATTTATGAAGCAGTACTGTGGTATAAGCTGTTATTTATGAAGCAGTGGTGTGGTATAAACTGTTATTCATGAAGCAGTGATGTGGTATTAACTGTTGTTCATGGTGCCATTTAAATTGTTATATGATACAGTGGTGCTGTGTAAACTGTTGTTTTTGAAGCAATGGTGAGGTGTTAACTACCCACATTAAGTACTGCGACCACATATTGATTAAACCCAAGTCCTTGTATGCTAAGCTACCACTTTCACCACAACACCACTGCTTCCCAAACCAGTAGGAGATGTGACCAATTAAATACTGACCATTAGCCTTCTCACTTGTTGTTAAATTCACATCAAGCACATAGAACAACTAGAACGTAACTATGAACACGAAGGAGTTCTTAACGCTCTCAAAAAGTAAAGAAATGTGACTTACCGTATTTGACGTAATAAGCGCTCTCAAAATTAGAAATAGGGAGCTCTTATTAGAATATTATTTTGGTGAAAAAAGACAGAGTTGAAAGATAAATTTCATGGTTATGCTGACAGCCTGAAATGTTAATGTACGACAGATATATTTTTCCAGAATTGTATTGCCCATAATTAAGGGTGCATATAGCACACGAGTGCGTATTATACGCGAATAAGTCTTGTGTACATTGATCAATCGGAAGGGGTGCTAATTGGGATTGTCACCAGCCAATATATCAGCAAATGTCACCTAGGCGCTTATTACGTCAAATACGGTATTCCGAAAATGTAACATGTAACATTAAATCATACATGATAATCCTTCATCGTCTGAGATTGAATGTTATCTTAAACCATGTAGCACAAACCGTTCTCTCAATACCTGCACTTGACAACACACACACACATTTTTATATTTCAGCACTCCCAAATCAAACAAGTCAATAAACTCATGTCAGATTAATATACACTTATTTCTTAAGCAACTCCTATCTATTGCATTTGAGTGAAATATTTTAAAGAAACCTCTTACTCAGCAATCTTGTCTGCGGTCCCCGCCAATACACTTAAACCCCCATCAGCCATTAAAAGCTATTATTCAAGTGCTGTGAAGAGCCTTCTCAACACATATTACAAGATGCTGATTATCTCAACAAAACAGGTCTGGTGAGGAGATGCGACAGGCATCAAAGGAGTCCTCAGTCCTTATTATCTTAATTAGTTTTAATATCACTGAGCTTTCCTGTAAATATCAAGTATGTTAAAGTAGACATGTTTCATGCTGGAAACACCCTCTTTCTTCTGTTTTCAGACTTCAAACTCCAGATAGTCCTTAATATCATAAAAAAAAGTTATAATGCTAGCATCATTTTTTGTTATTACATGTAATTATGTTGCATACTCTGCTGGGACTTAAAGGGCAGTTTGTTTTTCATCTGTATCAGTTTAATCAAGCCGAAATTGTGGAATGAAGGTAAATAGGTGTTGCAATTCATGTTCGGCAGGTATACGTTTCATGTAGGCTCTGATACTATAATACTGTAGTTGGAGGTCATATGGCAAAATGGTGCTGATCATTTGTGCATGTTAACATGAATTATGGGAAGCCTTTTCAGCCAGAATTGATTACTAAAGACATAAAAAAAAAGATTTAGCAATCTATTAGTTATTAAAAATTATAACTGAATCTGAAATATGCACCCCCTGCATCTTGCACACAAAATCTGTAAAAATATAAATAAATTGTCTGCTCTAAAGCACTAACCTTTAAATATTCTCGGGTGGGTGGTGCTGTGGTTGGTAATGGGTTGGTTATGGTGTTGGGATATTATTGGGGATGGGGACAGGGATGGGTATGGGGATGGGGTGGGGGTTTGGGTGGGGGTTGGGGATGGGGTTGGGGTTGGGGTTGAGGTTGAGGTTGAGGTTGGGGTTGGGGTTGGGGTTGGGGTAGGGGTTAGGGTTAGGGTTAGGGGGTTGGGGTTAGGGTTAGGGTTAGGGTTGGGGTTGGGGTTGGGGTTGGGGATGGGGATTGGGTTTGGGATGGGGTTTGGGATGGGTGGGGATGGGGATGGGGATGGGAGTTGGGGGCTTGGGCTGGGTTTGGGGGATGGAGATGGGGATTAGTTTGGGGGTGGGGGAATGGGGATGGGGATGGGGTGAGTGACTGGGGAATGGAGTGAGAATGGGTACGGGTGGGGGACTGGGAAAGGGGTGGAGATTGGGGGATGGGATGAGATGGGGTGGGGTGGGGTGGAAGGTTGGGGGTTGGGGTTGGGGTTGGGGTCAGGGATGGGGTCAGGGATTGGTGGGCAGGGTGATAGCCTGGGAATTTTTGTCAGAGAGAATTAAAATATGAAATGGTCAGTTCCTAATAACTATATGTTCAGTTGGTCATTAAAACATTTCCATGTCGGGAGTAAAGTGCTTACCTTTAATGAGCTTGATGGCCACTTTCTGATCACAGTAGTAGCCTGTGACCACCTTGCCAAAGGCGCCCTGACCCAGTTGTGTGCTGAATTTCAATTGCTTGGGGTCAAGTTCCCATTCATCACTAATTACCATCAGCTGATTAGAGTAATTCGACTTGCCAGCTGAAAACACAAAACATGAGAAAAATGTTTGATAGGACAGAAAAAAATATTTCAAAATTGAGTGTAAGTGATGTGTGAGTGTCTGAACAAATGGTCAGTGAGTTGGGTTTAATGCTGCTTTTAACAGTATTCCAGTTATATCACGGCATGTTCGCTTAATGTAGGAGGAAAGCTCAAAGTGATGCAGGTCTTAGTTGTTTACCCCTTCGGTGAAACCTTAGTAACAAGCATGGATATGCTGCTGACAAACCCTTATAACAGAATCGGGGCAAACCGGTATTCGAACCCACAATCATAGGTTTCTGGCGTGCCCAATCGATGCAACTCAGAACAGCAAATTGAGGTGCCTTAGACTGGCCCACCCCCACCCCCCCTGAATAAATAGTGTTTAACGCATGAGTTATTGCTGTCTGTCACATGATCCAGTCTGCACACCACAAACCAGTGGTTGATAGAGTGAGCGCCAACTAATGATGGTCGGGTTATGATGACAATCAGCCAGGTCACAGCAGGTTGGTGGTCGACATACCCTAGAACTATCTGCTAATATCACATGACATACAACAGGAATATACCCATAATTCATTTTGCACATACCTCCAACGTTAGACTTGTAGCTGTTGCTCTTGGTAACAAATGTCTTGGTGATGATAATATCCTTGAAACTCTTCCTCTTTTTGTAGAACAAGACCACAAAACCCACCACAATGAGGATGGTTGCCACAACGACGCCAACAATCACACCACTCAGAGTGCTTAGATCCTGCTCTGAAAGGGAAGGTGAGACGTGTTGAAAGATGATGTCATGTCAGATGATGTCGTGAGGTTAGGAGATTAAGTGATCTGGTTAACATTTCTAGTCACATATATCTTTTCATCTCTAATGGCCTAACAATCACTTTTCACAGGCCTGAGTATTTCCATGAAGTAAAATATGTGGTGATAAGATGCAAGCCTGTTAGATTTGATATGCTCAAGTTTAGACACACATCACATTGAAAAAAAGGTGCCCACACAAGCATATATCCTGGCACAGGATAGGGATGCAACTATTCAGTGCTTATTATGGCAACTTGCCAACTGTAGCTGTAATAGACAAGGACCCTGTACACTGTAGCTGTAATACACAAGGACCCTGTACACTGTAGCTGTAATACACAAGGACCCTGTAGCTGTAATACACAAGGACCCTGTAGCTGTAATACACAAGGACCCTGGACACTGTAGCTGTAATACACAAGGACCCTGTACACTGTAGCTGTAATACACAAGGACCCTGTAGCTGTAATACACAAGGACCCTGGACACTGTAGCTGTAATACACAAGGACCCTGTACACTGTAGCTGTAATACACAAGGACCCTGTACACTGTAGCTGTAATACACAAGGACCCTGTACACTGTAGCTGTAATACACAAGGACCCTGGACACTGTAATACACAAGGACCCTGTACACTGTAATACACAAGGACCCTGTACACTGTAGCTGTAATACACAAGGACCCTGGACACTGTAGCTGTAATACACAAGGACCCTGTAGCTGTAGCTGTAATACACAAGGACCCTGGACACTGTAGCTGTAATACACAAGGACCCTGTAGCTGTAATACACAAGGACCCTGTACACTGTAGCTGTAATACACAAGGACCCTGTACACTGTAGCTGTAATACACAAGGACTCTTACACTGTAGCTGTTAGACATCACAAGGAGCACACCGCAAGACTGGCATTCAAGGGAACAGATGGAATCAGCCGTGAGAAGAGATTTCTTTCGGGAAAGGTCTTTTTGATGTATGTTTGGTCTGAAGCATGCAGGTCAAGCTAACAACACCTACAATTGCAGTACCTCCTGGTATGCTGGGCTATTAATACCAGGTGCATGCATCTATGTCTGCAGTCTGCACCCACACCGCAGCAGGCTGCACATGCAGTTGAAAATATTGCCACAGGATTATGCCGTCTATCTTACATCTTTTAGTGTTCGGTGTAACAATTTTCAAAAATACTTCCAACGTAAAAATCTATAACCACGGATTGTTTTCTGAGACAATATGAACCCTTCAAATCCGACGCAGCTGTTGTACAAGAAGTACAAACACAAGCTATTTTCATTCCTGTATAAAAGTACTCGCATCATTACCTAAGCACACAGCATAAGCAGTTGCGTACCTGTTGCCATTAGGAATATCAACAAGCAAACAGTCACACAGTTGATGACTTTCACAACAAGACAAACACAATAAACGCTTCTTTCAAAGATTCCGAGACTGTGGGATGCCAGTTATTCTCAGAAAATGCTCCTTTAGGCTTACATTGATGAAATTGTTCAGAAGGGAAAACTGTTTTGTAAAGTTCAAATGAGTGAGTGAGTTGGGTTTAATGCTGCTGTGGGCAGTAGTCCACATTAACACAATGTGGCAGCTTAATGTAAGAGTGAGTGAGTATGATTTTATGCCGCTTTTAGCAATATTCCAGCAATATCACGGCGGGGGACACCAGAAATGGGCTTCACACATTGTACCCATGTCGGGAATCGAACCCGGGTCTTCGGCATGACGAGCGAACGCTTTAACCACTAGGCTACCTGACCGCCCCGCTTAATGTGAGAGGACCTAAGTGATGCCCTGGTGAAACCTACGAGCACGGGTATGGTGGTGACAAACCTAGAAACATAATCGGGGTGAACCAGGTCCAACCCACAATCATAGGTTTCTGGTGTGAGAAAGGGATGCAACTCTGCACAGAGAATAGTCTTAGACGATTTGGAGGGCTTGGACAGGGGGGTCACCTTACACGTGGGGTCGCTTTATAGGCGGTGATATTCAGTAAATGAATAAACATGTTGTTGTTTGTTTGTTGTTTAACGCCGCAATCAGCAATATTCCAGCTATATTAATCGAGTCTGGACCAAACAATCCTGTGATTGACATCATGAGTATCGATCCACGCAATTGGAATACGATGACATGCATCAACTAAGTCAGCGATCCTGACAACCCGATCCCGTTTGTCGCCTCTTACGACAAGCATGGGTTGCTGAAGACCTATTCTACCCCGGATCTTCACGGGTAGAATAAACATGTACTTGGACAGATACGGAGCTCATGTGATTAGACAATCGATAGCGAGAACTAAGGTCTGATTTTAATGAGATTGAGATCTCACACACCTCAAATTGTATGATGTATAGTAATCTAACATTCATTACACTAAATACACAAGGATAATGTCCCATTTTCACACTGAGCACTAATTACGTCTATACCTCACCAGCCACAGCAACCAGACTAGAGGCTGTTCCCTTTGTAATGGTGGAATTGATTGGCTGTCAACTTACTATGAGGCTGTTTGATTGGTTGAGCAATGACAGTTGAGGAACTGAGGTTTCTCTGAGTTAGGAGTTGTATAGTATCCGTGATGGAGCATGGCTCGCTGTAGTCATCTGTGTAGTATGCTGTCACCTACAACATTAATACACACATACACAATATTTTCAGACCAATCAGGCCAGTTTTTTTAGCTGGCTTATGAGACCAGAGACCATAAAATAATTGTAGACCGACAGACAAAAAGTAACTGAAATTGATTTTTTTCTATTACTTTTGACAATTATTTCTGTGGCCGAATTTGTCACCACTGTTCAATGGTGAAAAATTGTATAATTGTTTACTTTTATCTTTCGGTATTACAATCATACTAATAAAAACCAAAAGGCCAAAGTAATATTACTCTTATTGTATTTACAACTGGCTCTAGAGGGAGAGAAAATCTTTACATTAAATCCAGACTTTTTCATCATATCTAATAAGCTTTTACAAGTAACAAGCTCTTTACACAGAAGAAATAATAAATATTCTCATCGTCATTGGTTAAATCATGCAATGGGGTATATTTTTTTATATTTTTTAATCTGTAATCAAGTGCAATGTTTGACTTACATCAATAGTATATAGCTTATTTGTCTCCAGTTCCAGGATCATGTGAGCTTGGCCTGTTTCATTCTGGCCAGGCTTGGGGTAGTATTCATCATCATCTGTGTACCAGAACACCTGGTACTTCTCAAACACAGACTGGTTGAGGACGCTCGTCCATGTGATATTCACCTCCGTCATCGATGTCGAAGGGTTGAAGGTCATCTGTGGGTTTTCGTTGATCTTTAGCTTCAATTCTTCAATGTCTGGAAGACAACGTAATTTAGGTATAAAGACCAGAATTGTCGTTGAATTAATATAAATCCTGTTCAACAAGTTCAATGAACCCTTTCAATGGGGGCTTTCATCACATGCTTTTTCAGCAGAATGTCCAATGAAACAAAATACAGTAAACTATGTTTATAAGGAACACGCTTATAACAAACTGACCAATATAACTAACTTATTTTTTGGTCCCGGACAACTACTGTAGATATGGTGTGTATATGCTTATAAAACAAACTACAGTTATAACGAACTTAAATTAGTGGTCCCTTTTAGTTCGTTATAACCGTAGGTAACTGTATTTGAACTCATTTCCCATTTTGACGCATCAGTAACAGAAATTATGTCTAATGCAATTTCCTATTTTGACTTGTACCATTTGTTCCCATGCATTTTTCGAGGTGAATAGTTGACTTGCCTTTGCGTGTGTTTGTGATGAGGCAAGATACACTCACCTTCGCAAAAACCTGGCCTCAACACTACTTGATAGTTTTTCATAACATATGCTCATGATATCATCAGAATTGTACAACAGACTCTGCTTTTAGGATAGATTTCTTATAATTATGGAAAGGGTTTTGTTGCTTTTATTTGCTTCAATAGTTGATACATATAAATATTGTTTTGTTTTCGGGGCCATTCAGTTACAATATCCTTCCATGCATTTATATTTTTTAAATATTTTTTAAATATTTTTTAAATATTTTTTTTAAATCTGATTTTGTATAAACAAACATGAGCACTTACCTGTGGCAGAGGCTGTTTCAGGTGAGAAAGTGGAGACAGGTATACCTGAAAGACACAATAGACAACTACCAATCTGTATACACCTCAGGGAGAAGAGAATGAAATTGGAATACAAACTATGTGGAAATATCGTCGGTATCATAAAGGTCCTTCATAGCTTGTATCAGCAAGTAATAAATACAGGGGAAGTCACTTCAATGAAGACAGCAAATTTTGTTTAACGATGCAGCTAGATTACAGTGGCCTGTAAATAATCAAGTCTTTGCCAGGAATACCTGTGGTTGACAGCATGAGCAATGCTGCTAAAAAGTGGGTCAATAATGCTCAAACTACTACGTGACACATGTTTACCTACCACTCAACTGTATTATAGCCAGCTGTGACAGCTCACATGCAGTGAGTGAGTGAGTGAGTTGGGTTTAACGCCGCTTTTAACAGTATTCCAGTTATATCGCGGCGTGTCAGCTTAATGTGGAGGAAAGCCCGAAGTGATGCAGGTCTTAGACGTTTACCACTTCGGTGAAACCCACGAGCACGGGTATGGTACTGACAAACCTAGAAACATAATTGGGGCAAACCGGGATTCGAACCCACAATCATAGGTTTCTGGTGTGCCCAAGGGACACAACTCTGCATAGCGAATTCCGGCGCCTTAGACGACTGGGCCACCCATGCCCTTCTCACATGCAGTGAGTGAGTGAGTATGGTTTTACGCCACTTAAGTAATATCATCGCAGGGGACACCAGCAATAGGCTTCACACATTGTACCCATGTGGGGAATCGAACCAGGATCTTTTGGCATAAGGAGTGAACGCTTAAACCACTCGGCTACAACACCGCCTACCCACTAGCAAGCAATGATTGGGAACTGTTCAGCCTGGCATCCCACTTGGGATAATGTGAAGTTTGCCTTGGAAGTTACAGGAAACTTACTCAAATTTGCAGGAACATTTTCTGGGTTGTCTGAAAATAAGGAATGAAAAACACAGTTACATCATGAATTCTTTGTCCTTTGACTATAGTTAATGTCATAGTAATGACATAGTAATGACAAATGTCTTGAGTGTAAAAAGTACAGCTAACAAGCTTTAGAGAGATAAGCGATGTCATTTCATTTGATATCATGGTTATAGGTGACGTCACAATGATCTGTAAAGCAAAGTGATGCAATTTCATTTCAGCGATAAAACTACATGTGAGTGAGTGAGTGAGTGAGTGAGTATGGTTTTACGCCGCTTTTAGCAATATTCCAGCAATATCTCGGCGGGGGACACCAGAAATGGGCTTCACACATTGTACCCATGTCGGGAATCGAACCCAGGTCTTCTGTGTGACGAGCAAACGCTTTAACCACTAGGCTACCCGACCGCCCCTATAACTACATGTCTCGTAGGAGATATTGCTTGATCTCAAAGTGTATAAGGGTGAAACTATTGATCCCCAAAGTTGTTCTCACTTTGTCCGAAGACATCCAGGTCATCGTTACAGGTGGTTCTGTCAATGCTCATCTGGAGACACAACGGTGTCTTGAATGATGTTTTCCCTTCGACTGCTTCTCCGTGAGCATCCCTGATGCTGATCAACACGTCATACAGGGAGTTCAACTCAATGTCAGGAATGCGGAAATTTGGCTGCAAGAAGAAAAGAAAACTTAACTTACATTAAACATATTAACCCTCTAAAATTACAGTCAAACTTTAAGGTATTTGAATTTGTTTCGTTCTCACTATGTCATTTATTTTTATCTATTCTGATTATGAATACAATTAAGTAATAAACATATCTTATTTCGTTAAGCAAAACATTTGGTGTGATTTTTTTAAGTATCTAAATATACAAGTTCATAAAAGTCAGATCTTATTTCTCACAACCTCTGAACAAATATCTGATGACATCCCATTACCGGTCACATCAGAACGACGTTTCGTGAACTTTAACCATTGAAATGACTAAGAATCGACATTAGCCAATCAGAAAGCTGCTTTCTCAAGCATTACGGCACTTGTTTCAAACTCGTGACTTCCATTTCAGACTACGCTTGAAAAAAATGTTGACAAAGTTCTCGACTAAAAAAAATTAAAACTGAAGAAAATAACATTCTGGAATGTCTAATATAGGCTTGATGTTGTATGGCAGTACTTCCCACGTACTATACAACGTTTCCTTCGGTCAATTTTTTATGCTACTAAGGTGAGAGATAGACAACGATTTTGATAGAATCGGTTATACAGGACGTAAGTTTTACCAAGTGGTAACCTCTACGACGTTGCATGATTAGAAAACACGCTCCGACGGGATTTTCATTTTCTTGATCTGGCAAGAGATGTTCTGATTCGTCGGATGAAAAGTCGTTATGAAGTGACCAGTAATGGGATGTCCTCAGATCTCTGTTCAGCGACAGCGAGAACTAATAATTGATTTTATTGACACTGTTAAATAATAAACATCAGCAACAGAGAATAATCAGTTTCGATTATCTGCTGAAACAGATTCCATTGGGCATTAAAGGCAAAGTAGCTGTGGAAGTAGTATGAATGGATCAGCGATAACACCAGGTGTTTGGGAAAGGTGTTTGGGATACGATGCCATGCATCAACCAAGTCAGTGATCCTGAACACCCGATCCCTTTAATCGCCTCTTAATAATCGCATAGTCGCCATTCACAGCAAGCATGGTTCTACCCCCCCGGATGACCACTTGGCTACACCACCACCCTGCCAATTCTGGAGTAATAGCATGATCAAGTACAAATGTAAAGATAAAATATGTAAATAAGAATGGACTTTAAATCTAACCATGTGAAAGATTGTTTCATTGGTTTTGGCTATAAGCAAGCACATTAACGCCAATGTGCTGAAATCCTGTGGAAGTCAGAGACATGTTCATATCAAAACAGAATGACCTACCTTTTCTTTGTAGAGGAAATGAGCGGTCTCGGCGGTGTGATATGGCAATGTCTCACATGCTGGTGCCCTTGGGTAGGCGGCACAGTCGGTAAGGAACCAGTTCATCTCATAGAAACATGGTTCATTGCTCTTGGCACACTGGAGCACTTCAGCGCTGGGGTGGTTCCAGTCGAGGGAAGTCTGCAGCTTGCCGGAAACCATCTTCATGTCGATGGTGATGTTCATGGGGCTGATGTCTGGTGTGTAGGTGGCGCTCAGGCCCTCCACCAGGTGGCCGTTCGGAAAGGGATAGGCTGTAGAAAACAAACATTAGCCTCTGTTATTTGGGATCAAAACTGATTTGATTTTTTTATTTCTTTTTGTTTAACAGTATTCCAGATCTATGACGGTGGCCTGGAACAGCTAAACCAGAGACTGAGTGACTGAGTGAGTGAGTGAGTTGGGTTTAACGCCGTTTTTGACAATATTCCAGTTATATCGCGGTGTGTCAGCTTAATGTGGGAGGAAAGCCCGAAGTTATGCAGGTCTTAGACGTTTACCACTTCGGTGAAACCCACGAGCACCAGTATGGTGCTGACAAACCAAGAAACATAATCGGGGAGAACCGGGATTCGAACCCACACTCATAGGTTTCTGGCGTGACAAATGGACGCAACTCTGCATAGCGAATCACGGCGCCTTGGACGACTGGGCCACCCGTGCCCCCAAACCAGTGATTGACATCGTGACCATTGATCGATGTATTTGGGACATGATGGCATGCATCAACCAAGTTAGCGAGCCTTACCACCCGATTCCGTTAGTCTCCTCTAATGACAAGCATGGGTTGCTGAAGACCCATTCTCCCCTGGGTTTTCATGAGGAGTAATGAAATAAGGCTACTTCGTCTTAAAAAAAATAATTTCTAAGACTGGATCTACATTTGCATATGATGTAGTACTTACTTTCCTTAACAACAGAGTCAGGTGAAAATCGTTTCGATTTGGCCACAATTCCTCTGTTGGATATAGCCAACAGCTGAAACTCTGGGGGATCCGGCATGGTGTCTGTTTTGAAGCTCACCATCTGGGACGCTAGCTGTTGGTGATTAGAAGTGAATATAAACAATACAAGTAAACAAAAACATCAGCATGGGTAATGTTACAAACAAGATAACTATCAGTCTCCTTCCCCAGTTGATACCGCATTGCCTGGTCAAATATAAGCAGGCGCTATTGGAATGGGAGACATTGCGTATCACTTCATCTTGTTTTATGACAGACCTTCCCTTATCAAACACGATTTCTAAAATGTCTCTCTAGAGATTCATCAAAAGATCAAACTGATATTTACCTTGTTTTCTAATGATGTTTTTGCTTGGATCTAATTGTTTTTTTAGAATTTATTTTGGAGTTATTTATTGTATTATGTAAGTATATGCAATGAAAAGTATATAATTGCTTTTATCAACCTCAGCAATATTCCAGCTATGTAGTTGGTTAAAGCGTTCGCTCGTCACGCCGATGACCCGGGTTCGATTCCCGACATGGGTACAATGTGTGATGCCCATTACTAGTGTCCCCCGCCGTGATATTGCTGGAATATTGCTAAAGGCGGCGTAAAACCAAACTCACTCACTCCAGCTATATGACGGCGGTCTGTAAATAAACGAGTCTGGACCGACAATCCAGTGATTGGTCTGAGCATCGATCCACGCAATGGGGATACGATGACATGCATCAACCAAGTCAGCGAGCCTGACTACCCGAACCCGTTAGTCGCCTCTTAACGGCAAGCATTGTCGCTTCTTACGGCAAGCATGGGTTTCTGAAGGCCAATTCTCTGCCCGGATCTTCACGCGTCTCAACATTAGTTACGAATTTTACTATATATTTACATATGCCCGACATCCCTTGTTTAAAAAATGACGAGAAAATATATATAAATATTTTGAGGTCAAACAAATATAAAGTATTAGTTTCCATGCTGTCATTGTGGAAAGCATGAGAGGGAAGGGTGATTTTGGAGCACTTTGCAACTGCTTAACGGTAGTACTCCACTGAGGATCTCAATGACTCCTCTTGGCGATGATCAATGGAAGGTAATTGACAGCTAATACCTTCACTGGGATTAGTCACTAACCACTGGGGAGTGATAGGAATCGGATATGCTTATAGGAGTACCACCTGCCAACTGTTAACATAGATGTTTACCTGTAGCGCATCAGGGCGTGTTACTGAACTATGTTGGAACATTACCCATTAATGGTCAAACAAACAGAAAGTCACAAATAAATAATATGCTAACTTTGGTTGAAATAGCAGTACCAAAATATTTCATCGGATGTTGATGAACAAGAGACTATAAAATTTGAGATGGTCTCTGATAAAACCACAGGTAAGACTAACATGGGTAGATGAAGAAACTTCAGGTGCATTGTAGAGAAATATACAGGTGTATTTCAAATCTGGCCAAAGAAATCGTGTTCCTAAAAAATATTTAAAGGGAAACAACACTCCAATTCTCAGTCGTCTTGCCGGCGCCGTTTTAATAAGCACGCGTTATCACCAGATGCCAGTTAGCGTCAGTGACTAATTAAACTGGCCTTCCGACGAGCGATGGGGCAGGCAATTGAAGTGCGTGAAGTGCCCATGTAAAAACGGCATACAGTCAAGTCCTGTTAATACGACATGGTTGGTTGCAAATTATTATGTCGGATAACGAGTATGTCGGATAAACGGAATTAAGTTGTATCAGCGGTCGTGATCGGGAAAATCGGATCACTTCATGATAGATAACGATACAAAAACGTTGTAATAAAACAAATGAAAAATGAAATATTCATATTGTTATGTTACATTGTCTGTACTTTGTTCAAAGGATTCGCCGATTAGCCATACATATATATATATATATATATATATATATATATATATATATATGCTCTCTGCCTCATGGCATTCATTCACCTGATGAAAGAGCAAGCATATACTCCGAAACGTAATAATAAAGAAGGTGACATCCATATATTCTCTTCCTTAATACGTTGGTTAAGTTCTCATTATTAACTAACCCAAGGGATTTTCTTTAAGCACCCTGGGCAATGAACATAGTTGTCACGTGTGCTATCTCATGGTCAATGGTAAATCATCATGTCTAGTGATAATTTATCTCAAATTTTACATTTTATATTGACCAAGTTTGTTACCACCTGTTCTTTTTACCTGAATTTTCGGAAGGGATAGTATGAAGTTTTATACTGTGTATCATATGACGTTAACCGATGGCTTCACCCTTTCAAGTCGTGTAAATAAATCAACAACCAAAACACATGTCAGCGAGAATAGCGCCGAACACAAGTCAAACCAGTCGAAGTTTTAGTCCATTGCAAGCAAATTTTGAATCCGCGATGAACAAGCCCATCCATATTTCAACACTTTCAAACTTGGATCTTTAAGATCTTTCGTCAATGATAAGCACTGATTGTTATGAATAGTGCACGCGTTTACTATAATGTGTATATTCTCCATCGTCATTTGTCATTTCCGGTCTTGCTCCGGATGTGGTGATAAAAGTGACCTTTGTCCAACTGAGATATTGAATGTCAGGTTGTAAGTTTAGCCAATATGTTTTAAAACAAAACAAGAGTTGAGTTCACGAACAAGCAGAGTTGGTTCTGAGTGGATTTACCATGGACACTTCCGCTAACATTAAAACAATGAGAACACTGCTTTGGCTATATTTGATTGATTATGCCAGATAAAATGAATTTTGATTGGTTCAGTTGGTCTAACCGGAAGTATACTATACGGAGAGACACTGTTAATTAACCATCGGATCGTGACGTCACAAAGTACCAAATGTCAGTGAAAACAATCCGAAAAAGACCTTGATCCTTGTTAGAACCAGTCTGTATTTTATCTGATCTTTGAGTTTTTAAAAATTACTCTGAGTAACAAAAACTTTCCAGATTATCTCCACCTCGGTCAATGTTAAATAAATTTACCGATGAGGGAATATCTGAATTTGATCACGAATCCACATGTAATTGTCCAAACACAGGTGCATGAAACGTGAAAATTAAATATTCTTAACACCGTAATGGTTATGAAATATGAAACTATGGTTATAACGAACACGCTTATAACGAACTGACGGATATAACGAACTTACTTTTTTTGGTCCCGACTATTTGCTGTGGTTATGCTGTATGTATGTTTATAACGAACTACGGTTATAACGAACAAACATTAGTAGTCCCTTTGAGTTCGTTATAACCGTAGTTCACTGTAGCGTGTTTGGCGATTGTGCGACAAGCGTGTATCGGATATAAACAGTAGCCGTGTGGAAGAATGGTGTTATGTTAAATGTTAACCAAAAATACACACATGATGCAATTTATAGGATATCATGAACCTAGGTCAACATCTGTGCTCGATTTGCAGATTCCCTCATCTCAGCAATGTATAGTTTGATGCGGTTATATTTCTTTCTGGCGGAGTGCATAACGTTACCAACTCATCAAGGATTATGAATATGGAATATGAAACAGGTTTGCTTGTTTTCAATTAAGAGGTATTTTTATTGCAGAAACCAAAGGCAATTATAGGTAATTATAGTAATATTTCCACAAGTACAGTTTGTAGATTATGTAAACGCCACAAATATGCGGTACCTCGATGCAGGGCTATCCGTGTATATTTCAACATGAACCAGGTAAACCCATTACAAAAAAGCTGATTAGTAACATAATTATGTCGGCAAAAAAAAGGCTTTCGTAGAAAGTATTTGTCAATGGTTTGTTTTTTTGTTTAACCCCGTACTCAGCAATATTTTATCTATATGACGGCGGTCTGTAAATAATCGAGTCTGGACCAGACAATTCAGTGACTGACATCACGAGCATCAATCCACGCAATTGGGATTCGATGTCATGATTCAACCAAGTCAGCGAGCTTGAGCACCCGATCCCATTACTGGCCTCTAACAAGCAAAAATGCTTCTTACGGCAAGAATGGGTTGCTGAAGACCTATTCTACCCCGGATCTTCACGTCATATGTATCAGTGGGCTGATGATGTCGTTCTGACAGCACCCACAAAAAAACGTAAATGGATTACATGTCCGTTTGTGTCACATTAAGGCGTCCACCATTTAATATATTGGATTGGATTTTTGTTATACGTAGAATATGTTTTCGGACAGGCAATTTATTTTTGTGTAATTCTAATTCTTACTTCGGGGAATAGCATTGTGTTTATTATATCGAACTATTCGCTACATCCGATTTTGTTACAACGGGAGTGAAATTAATATGCATTGTGTTGGCTGTGATGAGTCAACGAATACATCCCCATACAAAGGTACAGAATACGTGACAAGAATGAGTGTGGTTTTACGCTGCTTTTAGCATTAATCCAGCACTATCACAGCGAGGGACACAAGATATGGGCTTCACACTACATTAGCCTTTGGTGTGACGAGAGAAGGGGTTAACCACTAGGCTATCCCACCAGTCCTTACTGAACCAGGACATCATTGTTGAAATGGATTCAGTTGGCGTTCACGATCATAAACATAAAAGAAAACACACACAACATTATGGATAACAAATTCTGGTGTATTGCATTCAGCAACGTTTCGATGTAGATTCTTAAACCGTTATCAAGCTGGAGTTATCAAACAGTTTGATCACAAAGGCTATCTGTAAATGCCAATGACACCAACGAACAAAATGCGTGCAATGGCCCATATGCACAAAGCGAACTTAGCACTACGCCTATGTTAAAGTATGGGAGTTAGGATCATCTTAGCGCTAAGATCGCTTTGTGAAACTGGATTCTGGCCTACTTTCCGACGACACCTACGTCAAAACACTTCCTTCTATACATATACCACCAACTTGTGAGAACTTCCAGACGACCATTTCACCTGTGTAATCCCTATCCGATTCACCCCCAAGAAACACAGTGAGTGTATTCATGTCTATGCTGCCATGCTTCTCTTATATCCGAAAGGAAATGCCAAACTATGGTGTTATTTCACCGAAGTCCTTGCCTATTTCAGCCCCTCATGCCCTTTACCTGTCAAAGATTAGAATTTAAGGACTCTAATAAAAAGATCAAACCCTACTGTTATTCCAGCACCAAAGACATTGTTTCTGATTAACTTGGGCTTCGCTCGTCGACTGCAGCAGGATTCCCAAAATATAATGTATCTTCACACTAGGAACAGGTGAGCGCAACATGTGCCCACCGCCCCGGAATGCCTGGCCCAGTCCAAGGCGCTCGCTTTATCTGTGTATTTACAAAGATGTCATGTTCTCGACGTGTGTGAAATGCACATTGATATAAACAAAATGATAATCAATATCACATAGAAAAACATGTCTATTACAAGCGTATTGTAGTTGACCCGCTATCGTGACCCTACTCGTGTTTTGCTATAGACACTGCCACGTGTCACACACATGATGGATTGTTCTGAAAGGGGTACGTTTGTCTTCTCCCGGAGAGTTTATGAAAGTTTCGTGTATATACTCATCTTGAGAAAGACAAACACGACTACGCGGGTCTATTTTTTGTTATGCTTGGCGCTCAAAGGACACCTTTTTAAGCGGCACGCATTTATTTTAAATGCTCATTTTGTTCTCGGCAAAATGACGACGACCACATTTGGCAGTAGATGTTTAAGGCAGATATCTTGTTAGCTTCTTCAACTTGATACATTGAAAGGGCGTAATGCTATAGGGTCAGCCGTGTGGAATAGTATCGGCAATTTAGAATAATATCGGTTGCATGGAAGAATACTGACAGTATTGAATAGTATTTGGCAATGTAGAATAATATAGGTTGTATGGAATAATACCGGCAGTATGGAATAATATCGATAGTATGAAATAATACCGGTATTATGGAAAAAAATATCGACTATTTAGAATAATATCGTAAGTATGGCATAATATCGACAATTTAGAATACTATCGAAAGTATGGAATAAAATCGACACTATGGTGCAATATCGGCACTACATGGTATGAAATGTCGGCACTGTGTCATACGATAGGCCCTATGGTATAATACCTGTACTTTGATACACGATAGACAGTATGATACTAGCTAGGGTATTATATCGGCACTGTGTCATACGACAGGCCCTATGGTATAATACCTGTACTTTGATACACGATAGACAGCATAATACTAGCTAGGGTATTATATCGGCACTGTGTCATACGACAGGCCCTATGGTATGATACCTGTACTTTGATACACGATAGACAGTATGATACTAGCTAGGGTATTATATCGGCACTGTGTCATACGACAGGCCCTATGGTATAATACCTGTACTTTGATACACGATAGACAGCATAATACTAGCTAGGGTATTATATCGGCACTGTGTCATACGACAGGCCCTATGGTATAATACCTGTACTTTGATACACGATAGACAGTATGATACTAGCTAGGGTATTATATCGGCACTGTGTCATACGACAGGCCCTATGGTATAATACCTGTACTTTGATACACGATAGACAGTATAATACTAGCTAGGGTATTATATCGGCACTGTGTCATACGACAGGCCCTATGGTATAATACCTGTACTTTGATACACGATAGACAGTATGATACTAGCTAGGGTATTATATCGGCACTGTGTCATACGACAGGCCCTATGGTATAATACCTGTACTTTGATACACGATAGACAGTATAACACTAGCTAGGGTATTATATCGGCACTGCCGATAACTTGGTATTGTCTCCCGATGGTCCTACTGACTTGACATTCAGGAGATTGTATAGTCCTGCACCATGACCGTGGAATATATTTATTTTATTAAAAATAATAATCTAGAAATGCATACAAAAGCAAGTCTAGCCAGCTCAAGCTAGCTCTATTCCGAAATCAGCATAAGGAATTTTTTATATTTTTAGAGTCAAGAAGGATATTGTGTAATATAAGATTTCAGAGACTAAATGTTAATCTAGAGGTTGTACCGTATTCTCAATAATACAATATAGATACACCAGTGTCGTTTTACGACTGAGAAACCGTACTCTATGACGGCAGCACATACGCGCACTACCAACATTGCGCCAATTTGTCCAACATATCAACATACAGTAAACTACGGTTATAACGAACACGCTTATAACGAACTGACGGATATAACGAACTTACTTTTTTGTCCCGACTATTTGCTGTAGTTGTGCTGTATATATGCATATAACGAACCACGGCTACAACGAACTAAAATTAGTGGTCCCTTTGAGTTCGTTATAACCGTAGTTTACTGTATCAAGCTTTTAACGACTGGCATAAGGAACTGGGCTGGAATGACAGAGCATCTAAGTTCGATATGCTAAACGTCATTTTACCTGTGTTAGTTGTTTCCAGGGATCCTTGCTTCCCTTCCTCCGAACCATTATGATATACACCAGGGACTTCCTGGACTTAGAGAAGACTGGAGGCTTGGGAGGTTTCCACTGAATGTCCGTCACTCTGGAATTCCTTCTCGTCTGCACATCACCGGGGGAAAAGGTCCAGCGTTGATTTTTCGTCTCTGTTCATACAAACAAAAATAATTAATTATCCTGACAAAATCATCACGCTGCCTTTATCTTAGTCTGGCCACAGAAACTAAATCATATTATTTTCCCGTTCGCCCATCCCTTACTGTAATGCTATAGGCCTACATGAAGCAAGTCTAGATTTTCCACAGGTCCGGTATCTCACTGGGGCTCCTTTTTAATTTAAATGTAATTGCTTGTTTCTATAAAGATTATATATTTTCAGAGACTAAGCGTCCTGTATTAGTGCACACTGCTCATCAAACAATGTTTAAATGGACAGCATGCATGGTGTTCTGTATTATAAATGAGTTAAAGAGAGACTGGTGCACAATGTGAAATCCCTTTATAAAGTCTGGGTTTAGATGTTGTAAATAGTGCCGGGGAAGAAACTTAGGCATTGTAGCTTTGCTTTTGCTTTTTTGTTTAATTCCCGCCATATGACGGCGGTTTGTAAATAATCGATCCTGAACCAGAAAACCAAGTGACTGATATGAGCATCGATTCACGCAATTCGGATACAATGACATGCATCAACCAAGTCAGCGAGCCTGACCAACCGATCCTCGCCTCTTACGACAAGCATAGTCGCCTTTTACGACAAGCATGGGTTGCTGATGCCGTATTATTTCCCAGTTCTTTACGGGTCAGGTGTTGGTGTGTTATTACAGTTATCATTACTGTAAGGCTGATATAAAATACGTATCACAACATTGCAGCTGGCAAAAAAAACCGTTTTCATGACAGGCCAGGAAGCAAACATCCCAGGACTGTCAGTTGATCCAAGGCCTTGTCCCCCTTTAACAATAGTGGGTGAGTTAAAATTTTATAATGTTACGTTGCATCGGTTTTATTTCAGCCATTTAGCGACCCTTTAACCATACAAGAATATATACCTGATGTATGTCTGAGGTGACCTCAGTTGTTGAACGTCATGATATGGCTGAAATACTGCCGATGTGACGTTAAATCTTAACTCACTCACTCACTCAGTTGTTGAAGAAACCCATACAATTCAAACATCGACTAGACAACTTTGATCAGTTGGTTACAAAAAAATAAACTTTTCTACCAAAGCCATCGTAAAACAACTTCTTTAAACACAAATTATTTTCCCATCTTTTTGAAATGTGACAAAGAACGCCTCAAATATTCATAAAAATGAGTTATATCCGTTTTATTATACTGGAATCAATCTAATGGTTTTTTCTGCTAGAGAAATGAATCATACGCGGTGAATGTCATTATTTATAGTTTCATTAACTTGTCAAGAATGTTTTTTTCACAAACAAAATAATATAGATATGTATAAAACTCGAGGAGACGTTGCTTTTGATTAATCGCGTTTGTTTCATCTTCATGGGAGTAGAGACAGTGACAATGACACTTACGTGTTGGAGGCTTGTGTCTGAAGTCGCAAGCAATCTCGCACCCACGCGTCTGTGATAAAAAAATAAATAAAAAAAATGTCATATACATTTATCAATAGTACATGTGTCAAACATAGCCTTTGCAGGAACGACACTGGTGTTACGAACTTCAACCGGATGCATGAAGACGTCATGTGGACGTCACGAAGCTTTGATCGATTGCTATCGACAGTTATAGACAACAGCAGATAAACAATAGTATGTAGCGGGAAGTGCATTTATCACGTTTTATAAGAAAAGTAACAGGATGTACAAGATTGATAAATTGAATGCTTGAAAATAAATATCTTAGTTCCTTGTAAGCTATCAGCGTAGGGCATTCTTTTTTAAAGCATCTGTAAATGTACAGCAGTGTATGGCGGTATGGGTTTAACACCACGGTGTGTCGGCTACATATGTCGGCTACGTCTTTTGTCATTGGGCCATCCCTGTATCCGACAAAGTTTAGGAGAAGAAACATCTAAACGGCATCCATGTTGCCTACACATAACAACGAAGGTATAGGGGTCCGACCCTCTGATATCCGAAGGGTGCTGAGGAGGGGGTGTGGGAGGGTGTGGGTGTAGGGGTGTGTATGTGGGGTTGGGTGGGGGTGTCGGGGTTGGGGTGGGGAATAATTATGCTTGAAATTGTGTTCCTTAATTAAACCTCATAGTTTTAAATGAGATATATCTGATTTGTAGCTGCAGCTGATAGATTATCTAACCTCGATACCACACACACACACCCCTACCATATGGTCGGACCGGAACACCAACCTGATTTATCATAAATAACTGTTTTCGGAAATTGGAAAAATAGTCGATTTTATCCGAAAACTTATACTCTCAGAGGCAGGTATTGACTAAATGAATAGCATATGTAAATGCATGGGGACGAAATCTTGAATCTGTTTTCATAACGTCTTTTCCAGTACACAATTTACAATAATAATTCGTCCTCCAAATGCGGGCAGCATCAGGTTCGTTCTATGCATATATGTCAGCGGCAACAACTACGTTTTATTAATAGCACTACTATACATTCTGCAGGTTGTGAACGTAAAGATGAGGATGGTTATCAGATGCTTCACATCACCGACCGACCCTAACAATCAGTCCAACTTCTAATTATTTATTTTCCGAAATGCACATCTTGAGGTAAGCTTTCCTGACAACACAACCATCTCTGCCGTTCGTGATGATTTTTGGGAGAAAATGGGACATACCCTACTTCTTTTGAGTTTGTAGGGGGGGGGGGGGGGGGGGGGCATTGACTTACAAATATATTTTTTTTTAAAAGAGTGAGGAGAATCAAAAACGATGTCACATGTGGCCAAATGAATGTTGTAGACTTTTAACACTTACGCATACTTTCTCAGCATCGCACACAATTCCATACAACTTGTACTTTGTGAACAGGGTATCACAGAAATTCCAGCACTGAAATATAAAAAAAAAGTTGATAATTGTATCGTCGACATAAGAATACTGAGCTACTAAGCTCAAATTAATAGTGACTGAGCGAGTATGGTTTTACGCCGCTTTTAGCAATATTCCATCAATATCACGGCGGGGGACACTAGAAATGGGCTTCACACATTGTACCCATGTCGGGAATCGAACCCCGGTCTTCGGCGTGACGAGCGAACGCTTTAACCACTAGGCTACCCGACCGCCCCCTCAAACTAATAAGCCAATACAGACAACATATATTTTTTTACCAGCGTACTTACTAGTAAACTAAACTATATTTCTAAATTTAATTTGTATTACACATTTATGCAATATTATACATTTGCCATTTTTTACTTCCATATAACAGGCAGGACATCATCACACGGGGTAGCATAACAACCAAGTCTCACCAGATAACACTCGTTGGCGTATGTATACCGCCTCACGACAGGACTGTTAGCAACAAAACTCACCATATAACGGTTAGGTATGCATTCTAACAACAGGGGCTATCCACTACCAAAACTCACCATAAAACAGGTGTTGTCGTTATACCTCCTCACTTCGGGGACTATTCACCACAAAACTCACCATATAACAGTCAGGTGCTGTCGTATAGACCCCCACAACGGTGACTATACACTACAAAACTCACCATATAACAGTCAGGTGCTATCGTATAGACCCCCACAACGGTGACTATTCACTACAAAACTCACCATATACCAGTCAGGTGCTATCGTATAGACCTCCACAACGGTGACTATTCACTACAAAACTCACCATATAACAGTCAGGTGCTGTCGTATAGACCTCCACAACGGTGACTATTCACTTAAAAACTCACCATATAACAGTCAGGCGTTGTCAGGCAATTGTCACCAGCACTTTCGTTAAGAAGCTGCAAAAGAAATGATAAAACGTTTTAAAGATTCTAAAAGGAGGAACCAAAATAGGTTTCATCGGAAACGTACCACATCATACCCTCTTGTTATGGGTTTTCGGACGCTTGAGAAACATTCGTAGTTTGCTCGCTAGTCATAAGAACAACTGTAAAACATCTCACTCACTTATAAATGCAACTTTATCTAAAAAATAAGCCATCATCTGGGTATTTACAATGTCTGTGTGACGCCACACCCCTTGTCAGAGCGCGAATAATCGCGATAAACATGGCCGTCAGAAAACGTATGATGTCCGAAAACGTATGATGTCCGAAAACGTATGATGTCCTAAAACCAATGATCCGGCGATATAAAATTATTCGCAAAGTCTCGATTATCATAATCGATAAATCATAGCATGGTTGCGCAAGAATATTTTAACGTCACTACAAGTCGTTATCCGTATCATACAATAAAACAGAAGTGTCTTTAGCAGCATGTATATTTTCTAGGTTATTAAATCGAAAAACGAAATTTCGATGTTGAAAACTAAAATTTATACATAACCGCTCCGACCGCCGACTTGGTTAATGCATGTGATCATATCGCATTGTGTAGATCATAACTCATGATGTCAATCACTGGATTGTTTGGTCCAGACTCGATTATTTACAGACCGCCATCATATAGGTGGAATATTGCTAAGTGCGGCGTTAAACAACAAACAAACAACTCAGAGTAATTTAGTTACTTCAGTATGTTGTTCGTACAAGTATAGGTGGACTCACTTCCACAGCCCCCATCTAGAATTATACCAGACCAGCCTGATTTCCCACTGCTGGTGCAATGGCCCGATGCCTAAAGCGTTGGAATGGGAACACGCGCGTACTTGAAAATAGGCCAATACTGTGCACATTGCACAGAAGCCTTTCTTCTGCATCATTATGTCGCATCTGAACTCGTTCAGTTCTTGGTTAACATTCTACCAACTAGGAAAAAACATGGCTTTTTTTTGCTCCCGGTAATAGGTGTGTGTGTACCTTACATACGTAATACGTAAGGAATAAGCCATGCATTACGATTTGGAATACGGAAATACTGTATCGCAGCTATATCAGCGTGTTAATACAGTTATATCCACTTTCCCCTTAGCACCCACTACCAGAAACGGCAACACAAACAAACAAATCCAACCGTCATCAGTGGTATAAATGATTAGAAAATACCTTAAAAGAATAAAGATATGACCAGAACTAATAATTGTAATATAAACAACAAAGAGACCATTACTTAAAAGATAAAAACAAAACCGATAAACGAAACACGGGTACGAAGAGGCATATGCAGTTCCGAAAATCGACACTAATTGACAAACATACATACACAGGCACACCCCCGTGAAGAGCCGGGTTAGAATAGGTCTTCAGCAACCCATGATGTCGTAAAAAGCTATTATGCTTGTCGTAAGAGGCGACTAACGGGATCAGGTGGTCAGGCTCGCTGACTTGGTTGATGCATGTCATCGTATCCCAATTGCGTAGATCGATGCTCATGATGTCAATCACTGGATTGTCTGGTCAGTCTCGAATATATACAGACCGCCGTCATATAGCTGGAATATTGCCGATTGCGGCGTTAAACAACAAACAAACAAACAAACAAACAAAACACATGTACAGAGCTAGATAAACTAATTAAACATATGCAGTAAATATGTATGCGAGAGAGAAGCCGTATGCAATGTAACTGGCTTATGTTGATGCAAGGAGCTTGAGCGGCTTAATTGTCTAATGGGGAGCCATTCGCACCAGTAACAACCATTATATCATTGTAATGAGATCCCTTAACAGTTGCTGAGTCAATCCACCTAGCAACACGCTTTGAGGGGACGGCATTAACTTCAATAATAATTTAAGGGGAAGCTGGAATCACGTGTCAGGGGAAAGTAAGTGATGACATCAGCTGGGTATGTAACAAATCTTACTTTAGCTCAGGTTACAATTTCACGTTTCAAGTTCAGTGTTAGATACGGGCGCAAACGACGTGAATCCTTGAATCGCTAATAACAGAATGAGTGTACATGTATTATGAAACAGTGTTGGGAGCGAGGGTCACGCCATTTGGTTAGCACATGGTCATGTTTTCAAAGAACCGTAAATAATGCAATCTAAACATACATCTACTTGATTTAGCCAATTAGGAATGCTACAGTGCACTTTCTACCTGAATGTGTTACTAAACACAGATGTACATATCTGGCTGGAAAATATCTTAACGAGAGCCGCTCTTGTTGAGTCTCGAGAGACGTTGTTAGCTTGTCGGGAGGATATGTTGGTAGTGTAATTAGTGTTGTAGTTGTAGCCGTAGATGTAGTTGTGGGTGTATTTGTCTATATGTGACTTGTCAATCACTGGATTGTCTGGTCCAGACTCGATTAATTACTGACCGTCGTCATGTGGTTGTAATATTACCGGGTGCGGCGTTAAACAACAAACAAACAAACAAACAAACAATAGGTTTGTCGGTTGTAGGTGCATATGTATACATGAGTTGTTTTCGATTCGTTTTTGTTTAACGCTGCACTCAGCAATATTCCTCAATATGTCGGCGGTCTGTAAATAATCGAACCTGGACCAGGCAATCCAGCATCGTCAGTGACATGCAACAACCAAGTCAGCGAGCCTGACCACCCGATCCCGTTAGTCGCATCTTACGACAAGCATTGGTTGCTTAAGACCTATTCTGACCCGGATGTTCACGGGTCGTATACACCAGTTGGTCAGTTCAAACAAATCGGCTCTTTCACGCACAACCAGGTATGTTTTATGGCGATTGCAAGAAAATGAAACCGTAAATGGTTCCATGGCAGTGATAAGAAAAGGATTGGTCGTGGTAGCAGAATAATTGCGGTGGTGGTTGAATGTTGTTTTATTATGGAGTCAACAACATTCCACGGTAACCTGTTGGTACCTGTGGGCAGACCTGGGCCCCGTTGCACAAAGGGGTCTTAGCGCTACGACTATCGTAGGCCTATGTTAAAGTATGGGAGTTACGATCACCTTAGCTCCACGATAGCTTTGTGAATGGGACCCCAGTGACAACACACGAGCTACGATCCACGATGCCTCGGAATTGATGACGAACACGCCATCAGTGAAGAGACTGACCACCCGATCCCCTTTAGCTGGCTCTTGGTAGTAGTAATAAGGATAGGAGTAGTAATAATACTATTATTTAGTCATAATAGTATTTAGTTGTGGTATTGATAGCAGCAGTAATGTTATTAGTAACAGAAGTCGCGGTTGTAATACTAATAGTAGTAATATTACTATCAGTATTTTCTTTGTTGTTTAACGTCACACTCAGCAATATTCAAGCTATATGGCGGTACTATTAGTAATAGTTGTGATTGTAGTAGTAGTAGTAGTTGTAGTAGCAGTAGTAATAGTAGCAGTAGTAATAGTCTGTCTTACAGACCCTGCTACATTTATATCAACTACAGCCCATGCAAGTCTATAATGTTTGGCAAGTCTAGATTACTGCAGTATCAGGAAATGAAGAGAATCACTGGGCTGCCTTTTTATTAGATTTTTATTAAGATAACTAAACAACTTTTTTTCTGTACGATATGTTCATATGTTTTTAGGTCTGTCAGCACCATACCCGTGCTCGTGGGTTTCACCAAAGTGGTAAACGTCTGCGATCTTGATAACTTAGGGCTGACGTCACATCGAGCAATGCTGTTGTAATGTCTTAGTAGGGGGGCACCAAGATGAAAATTAAACATTTATGTCACGAATGGAATCGAACCCGGTCCGTCTGCGTGACGAGATGAACGCATGTCCCACCAGACTACACGGCCGCTCCCCCGGGGGAGATGGCTACCTGTACAACACGGCACGCGCGTCAATGGAAGGAGGCAAATGAGTGCATGTATACACCTGGTACTGATGTAGCTTTAATGTCTGTATCTTTCATGTGGTCTGCGTGAGACAGGTAATTACGGTATAAGCTAATCAAGACTCCCGAGATAATGAGATCAGACAGAACAATATTCATAGCCGGGGATTGACCACCAGTTGATTCAGCATAGAACTAACAACTTGAACAGAGCAGAGAAACGACTCGATTCGCGATGTTTTGTGTGTTTGTTTATTAACGCCGAACTCAGCAATATTCTAGCTATATGACGGCGGTCTGTAAATAAGCGGGTCTGGACCAGACAATCCAGTGATTGATATCATGAGCAGCGCCCAGGCAATTTGGATACGATGACGTGCATCATCCAAGACGGCGAACCTGACCACCCGGTCCCGTTAGCCGCCACTTGCGACAAGCATAGTCGCCTTTTACGGCAAGCCTTGGTTGCTGAAGACCTAGATTCGTGATGTAAACAAACATGAATCCATATATAGGACTAAAGAATATCTAGCCCATTTTAGCTCACGTGAACTACATTAATCAGTTATCTTATTACTGTACAGTCATTAGTCTGTCTTACAGACCCTGATACAAATATATATCAAATACAGCCCATGCAAGTCTATAATGTTTGGCAAGTCTAAATCACTGCAGTATCTGAAAATGAAGAGAGTCACTGGGCTCCTTTTTATTATATTTTTATTAAGATAACTGAACAACTGTTTTTTTTATGTACGATATGTTCATTTCAGAGACTAGATTTTAGTCTATACAGTCATAGACATCTGAAGAGCCTATTGTATAGGCACGGGGTAATTCATATAAGCTGAGCTTACCATGGATAAATAACTGGTTTGGAACTTATGATTTCTAAAACTAATGGTCCACCTCTTGACTCCTGATCTGCTGACCGGACAGTAGGCCTCTTGTTTGTGAGGCGTGTGTGGATCCCGAATCTGGACTGGATCACATGGAGCAACTAATAACAGATGCGACTAAATTGGATCGGGTAGTCAGGCTCGGTGATTGTGTGTCATTGAACCCCGACTGTGGACGTTGCTCATAGTATCGACCACTTGTTTGTCTGACGTCAGAC